TACATAACCTCGTTTCATCTTTTCACGAGAAGATGGGAACATGAGCGGATCTCTATCAGATGCCGCGCTGCACAGTTGAGCGAACATTAGGGAGAGACCGGACAAGGAATGTTTGACTCAAACCGCGAATTTTAATGTTTATTTTGTCGCAGTTTTAATTCTGAGGGGTGTTTCCTCAATGAGTTTTTTTCGCATGCAGGAGGTTAAAATAGAACAACCTTCAAACTCCCATGTTTACAAAAATCAACGTATGATTTTCCTCCTTTTTTCTCTCTTTTATTCAAGTATTTACATCATATCTGACATTCATTGACTTGTACCACTGTGCGGCGCGCGCAGGGATGGCAAGAATCTCACCGAGGGGCTGTTTTCCGCGCACCCCCGAGACCCCCTTGTGTCGGCATAAGTTTTCTGTCTATTCTGCCGTGCTAAGGAAGAACGCCGTATGAACATTCGGGAGATGCCAACTTTCCCCGAATAAAATGTTCATTTTTGAGGAAAGTTATGAATATTTGTCCATGAAATTGTCAGGAACATTAGGTGAGATTGCGAACAAAATTATGTGAAAAACCGGAAAGAATGTATTCATAAGTTTACCAGGAAATTCGTGTTTTATCAAAGGAAATTTAGCAACACTTGAGGGTTCATACGGCGTTTTTCCTTGGCATGGCATTATTTTAAATCATTTCCGCGGTTCCCAACCGAACAGGTGTGGAGAAATCTCGCTTTCAAGCCTCGAGGATACAGTGTGACGCAGCAGGGAGAAATGTGCATTGGGGTGGAAACTCAAAGTGTTCAGCACAGAGAATCGGTTGGGTGTAGAAAATATCGATTTTCAGTTTTCGATTCTCAACGCCTTCTAATACCCTGGAGGAAGTTGAGTCAAAGGTTCAAACCAAAGTGTGCATTATTAAATTTGTTATACACGTTTTTGAAGCCAAGTTTAAAAGAACCGCAGATAGTCTGGAGTTTTTTTTTTTTTGGGGGGGGGGGAGAAAATGAGTTAGGTGTAGTTTCGAATTCAATTAGACGTCATTTTTTTCCGACCATTCAACGTTGACAGAAGCTATTTGGAACATTAAATTTGTCTTCGAACTTTGTCCTTGACACTGGGTCTTACAATGGAGTGAAACTTCAATCTTCTTTTTCTAGGCTCCAATTTGATACAAATGGGTTTGTTTCTTAGAAAGTCGGCCGAATACAGTTTTTCCAGCAAATATAGAAAAGAATAACCAATTGAAGTAGAGAGTATCAGGGCCAAATTTAGGGGGTGACCACATGGGCCCTGGCCCATGGCGGCAAATTTCGGGGGCGGCGACAAATTTTGCAATTTTTTTAAATTTAGGTATAAAAGAAATCGGATTCAGAAAAAAAAAATTGCAAACGAGAAAAGGCGACAAAATCTTTCATTTCCTGAGAGTGTAGTTATTTCTAATTTTGCCGTCTTTCGGTGATAAAAGAGGCAGCACCTTTAATTAGTCGAGTTAAGAGAGAAACCAAACACCCAATTTGGCCTGGAGCGGCGCGCCGCCGCAGAGAGCAATGATGACGAAGACTTGAGATGAAAAGGTGAAGCCGTCGGCGCGGCGATCGGCGAGTGACACATATTAGCGCCTACAAGACTGCATGAATACTTCACGCATTGCGCCAAATGCAGTGCGGTCAGCGTCGCGCGGCGGCGCGGCGGCGGAAGTTAAAATTATTAAACCACATTCATGCTTGTTCTTTCATAATTTTTTCGCTCAATACTTAGAAATTGAAGGCCTTGTCCACACAGAGATAAGTTTACGGAACTTAACTTTTGCGCAAAGTTCCGTGAACTTTAGCTAGCAGTGTTGACAGGGCTTTTGCAAAAAATGTGACCAACACGAGTAAATGCGTCTTTTGCACCCTCCCCCCTCCGGCACGTTCTCTCGATGGTTTTTATTGAAGTTTCAGAACGAATGAGAGAGGGGCGGCAAAATACAGGCGGCTCTTGGGCGCAGGCAGATAAATTCGGCCCTGAAGAGTCTGGTCAGTTTTTGAGATGCCAAAATTTGCATTATTATCGATGGTGCTTTAGGCGTTGAAAAGTGAATTACTCCTAGGATTGAAAACTACGCCTGCAAACTTTACTTATTTAACAGCAGAGCAGTCAGATTCCCTGTTTTTCGCGTCTCAACTTTTAAATTGAAACCAAGAAGGGTTATTTTCTGGAATTTCCGAGTATTTTGCGTTTCATGGAGTCGTGGTGTAGTAATATCGTTTTTTCTGCTTACTGTAGTCGGCCCTGCTGTATAAATTAGACCGAATGTAACGGAATATATTCCGAAAAATTGGTTCTAACCAATTTTGTGGTTCAACTCTGGCAGATTTCCGTCGTCCCTCTAAACTTTTAGGAGCCACCTTTGTAGGAAAGCCAACTTTTCTGGAGTCATCTAAAATGTTTTAGGAGCCAAATTAACTTTTTGCTTTAACCCCTGCTTTGCGATTGCAAGAACAAAATTATGGTGTGCGTCAATGGTCCCAGGCGCCACGATGGTGTAGCTCTGCAAATTTTAAACGACAAAGCCCAAAAATGAGGCACATTTGAAGCAAGGTTCCCCGGAGAGGGCAGGACACAGATCTCCGAAATGGCATATAGGAGAATGCATGATGAAGAAAATTATCCAAGCATTCTTAATCAAAATATGACATAAATTCAACCTTAAAACCGTATGAAATCGTACTGTCAAAATTTTCTAGAGCCGTATAATACGTTCAATTTTATGTTGAAAAATAAAATATGAGAGGAACGCGAGTAATTTTCGCATGGGGCGGATCCAGACATGTCCAAGGAGGGGAATGCAAGGAGGGTCCCGAAGGCTTCCCTAGAAAATTTTCAAAATTTTAAAGCATCTAATATGTAGTTGGAGTCAACTTTGTCATGAATAAGTATCTTATACAAGTGTCCTTCCCTCTCCGCTATGCTAAGGAAGAACGCCGTATGAGCCTTCAGCCGTTGCCTAATTGCCTTTAATAAATCATGAATCTTCGGGAAAATTTGTTAACGCTTTTCCTCCAAATTTTCAGCTAATTTTGTTCGCAATTTTACCTAAATTTTCTAAAAATTCCAGGGAAAAATATCCACAGCATACCCCAAAAACTAACATTTTATCGAAGGAAATTAGGCAACTCTCGAATGTTCATATGGCGTTTTTCCTTAGCACCGCAGTTCTCCTCTCATCCGTTTCTTCCTTTTATTATTTCTTTATTTTTCTTACTACTTTTTTCAGGCTAACGAGGAGGGAGGGGGGCCTCACGCCCCCCACGAACATCCCCTCCTGGTCCGCTTATGAACTTTCGTCGTAGAGCCTGTTTCTAGTAAAATTGGTCCGGTCTTTGGGCGCATTTGAATTACAAATGAACGTATTTCTGCCGAACGGAACTATGTGCAATATGACGTGAGCCCTGTTATGCATATATTCTTATGGGTCTCAGGGCTCACGTCATAATGCACATAGTTCTGTTTAGGAGAAATACGTCCAAATTCCTCTCCGGGATGAGGGAAATCCCGAATATTTGACGATGTTGCAGCCTCAGAGCGGCAGAGGGGGCAGTTTCAAAAGACGCGACATTGACTCGGGAGCCAATCTAACTTTCCGGCGAAACGCAAGAAGGAGACCATAACTTCTCAAAGAGTCCTGCCTCGGAAGTTTTCTCCGGGTATTAATGGACGAGTTTATTTGATCCCTATATTTAAGACCTAGAAATTCTGAAAGAAGATTAAAGAGACGCCCCGACCACTTACGCCAACTTCTCAAAGGGGATACTTTTGTATACTGACCGACTTCCGTAATTATATCAATTTGCTCGCAGCAGTTTTGAGCTGTGTATTTTTCGAGACGTTATATGGTGTGCTCATAACTTAAAAGTCCCTAGTGCCTCAATTGGACCGCGTTTAACAGAATGAAACCAAGTCACATCAGCTGTTGCCAAATTTATCTGGCAAATTTCATTTTTCACGGGAGAACTTTTGCGCTAACTCCTTTGAAAATTTTAGGGAATTTGCTTCGTACTATGGGGAAAATTCACTGAAATTTGCACGAAAATCCGCACAACCGTTTTCGTATAAAAAATGAAATTGTCGAATTAAATTTGGCAACAGCTGATATGGCTTGGTTCCTTTCTGTTTAACGCGAACCAATTATAATAAGTAGAATGTTTGTGTTTCCGAGACTAAAAGGTTTAAAGGAGGGAGAAAATATTTTTATGCGGGACTTTAAGATCCAGAAAAATAATTACATATGAGTAAATCACATAAATGTTGTACTTTGGGATGAAAAATTGAGAACTTAACTTTAAAAAATTGAACCCATGATACATTGGCGTAACTGAGATGAAATGTGTCTCTTCGCTACGACGGCTCAGAATCTCCGACTTTGTTTTATTATTTTTTAAGTAGGTAATAAAAAACAATATTTTAACACAGCACTGCTTCTAATGTATGCAAAATTCGTGATATACAAGATGGACTTACTTATAATTATGTGGACTTCTTATTTTATTTATAATCAGAATTTAAACTTTAAATATTAAGATGTAGATCTTAACGAGAATTTATTCCATAACTATGTATAAAAATAAGGTTTGGAAAGGGCAACTCATGGGGTCCTTAAAGTTTTTCCTAATGATGCTAACCTCAAAATGACTAGCTTTGACTACCCGTATTTAATTGAGTGCATGACTTGGCATATTTGGATCGCATTTGGCAAAAAGGAACCAGCGTGATTACAGTGTTTTCAAAATCTTGCAACTTTCCTCTTTCTTTTGAAAATACTAAATATATGCACGGTATAAAATTTTACAAAATGATTACCTTTTTTAAAAACAATTTTTCAGTGGAATGCAAAAACTATTTGCTATTTTGGGCGAGAATTTTTTAAAAAATTATGAAGAAGCAACATTTCAACAACATTGTAATTACGCTGGTTCCTTTTTGCTAGATACGATTCCATTTATTCCGGAGAACTGCGTGGAAATGGATTTTTCAAGTCACTTTACTGCGGATGAACAAAGGAGATCTTTTGCAAAAAGTTTTAGCAAAAAGACTGATGTTAAAAATAGAGTACCTGTATAGCAAGAGTATGGACAGATGTGAAACTCCGAAAATCCACCAGGCCTTCACCAATGCCTCCGCGAATAGTTAGGGCCCAGAAATGCAGCTAACCTATGAATTTCAAATGTCCAGAGCGATTTACAAATACAATTGTTACGAACCGCCGTTTATATATAAAGCATGTATTTGGCTTACTTTTAGCATAAATTTACTTATTTTTGCAAAGGAACGCTCATTTATGTACATTCTTGGCCATCTTAGTTAGAATTGAACTCTGTAGGCTGGTAGTGAAATTTTGTGTGTTAGAAGTTGCTCAGAAGGGTGGCTGCACTTTTGGGCCCTAAGCCCTCCATTAAGCAATCTGTCCATACTCTCGCTATAGATAAGGTACTCTAGTTTAAAAAAAGTCCTCGAATTTTGAAAAATGCCTAGTTTACGCCTTGCAGCAATTCAGTCTTGGATGGCTTTCCTCTTAAAATCTCCAAAATAGAAGTGAGTCTCGTCGGAGGAAAGCGAATGCCCCTGAGAGGATAGGCAACCCTCGACCTGGAACTCGCTAGCCGGGGGGCTGGCGACCTCCTGGCCACACCGGGAGCGGGTGCATCCGTCCTCTGCACAGCCGGCGGTGCAGATGGCAGCGTTGTTCCCTCTTCGGCCTTTGGTGCCCAGTCCGCGAACGGCGAAGACCGAGCCCGCCCTCGGCTGCTGACGCTTCTCCTCGTCGTTGAGATTGTGCTGCGATGACGTCACGAAGAGGGTGTCCAACTTCGGACCGCCCCAGATGACCGATGTGACGTCACGTGCTGGCATCTTCACCGCCCGCAGTAGGGTACCGTCCCGCGTCGAGATTTGGTATACCTGACGGGAACACGTGGGAAGAGATCGGTAATTATGGTATGAGCCCATGTACATATAGTAGAATGGATCACTAAAAAGGCGTAGAGTGCCTTGGTAGGGGGATAAAGATGGTTCGTATACACGGAGAAAAAAACTTCGTGCGTGGGACCTAAAGTTGAGGTTATATGGATCTCTGAAGTTTTCGGATCACGTATCTAAAAACTTGAGGTCGATCAGCCGAAGTTCAGTTCAGACATCTGAAATACTTCGATTTATATCGAAGGGTTCAGGTCACACATCTAAAGTACTCCGGTACATACCGAAGTGTCTCGATGTTTGACCCGAACTTCGGCAGCTCGACCTCAAGTTTTCGGATGCGTGATCAGAAAACTGCAGAGATCCATATGACCTCAACTTCGGGTCCCACGCACGAGGGTTTTTCTCCATGTAAAAACAAAAATAAAATGGTTCGTAAATTACAAGATGCCATTTGACACATCTTCCGGCCAAAATATCACAAGCGCCATGCAAGGTTTCAAAATTTCCACCGTCATTTTATTTACTTTTTACAGGGATATTGTTGGTTGAATCTGTTTAAAAATTTCACTTGATTTTATCGGCAGCACAAAGAAAATTCAGTGAAATTTTTGGACAGCTTCGTTGAACAATTTCTCTGTAAAAAAATATGATGGTGGCAGAAATTTTTAAACGATGCATGGCGCTTGTGATACTTTGGCCGGAAGGTGACGACATGACCTCTGGGTCGATAGACAAAAATGACGATTAGGTGTCGCAGAGCGCCCGAGCGGGCTGTAAAAGCGACTTGTATGCATGTAAAAATAGCTTCTCAAAATATATCCATGCCCAGAGTTCGAACCCTCTTATCTCCATTGCAGTGTTTCAAAATTGCCGTTCCTATTTTATTCTTTCGAAGAGACACATGCCGATTAGAGTACAGAAGTTTTCAAGAAAATACTTTGACAATCGCCCATGCGAAAAAACGAGGCGACGTTGGACTGCTCATATGGCGTCGAAACACAACATGGGCCTTTTAAGCCTCATTTTTCGATGCCACGATTATCCTTTAACGCGAGTTCGAATAATCGCGCCGGACACGGTACGGTCGGTGTCGAACTCATATCAGCGCCTGCAAGACTGAAGGAATACTTCTCGCATTGCACCAAACGTGCTATTTGCGTTGAAGAGGTTCTTTTCAGAGTCGTCTAATAAACATCTCTTACTGCTACTGGGCCTGTTGCAAACTTTTGCTAGAGAAAAGAATTGGCCTGAGCGAGAGAGTAAAAATTAAGTATGACAAACATTCTACAACGTTGGGAAGTTGTAGAATTTACATGGTTTCGTACTTTGTTCATTAATATTGCTACACTGGTTTTGTCCAAAACATGATTTAGAATAATTCTAAGAACGCTCATGAAATAATCTTGTCATCTTAAACACTAAATCTTGACAATCAAATACATTGCTGATTTAAGTTTTCACACATTCTGAATAAGAAATACATATATGCAATGCCCTATCAACATTAACTTACATAAGATCCGAAAATCGCAGCCACCCATAAATTATCATCCACGTCCATTGCCATTCCATCCGGGAGCCCATTTACATTGTTCGCCTTGAAATCGAATAAAACCGATCGATTACCTAGAAATGTTTCAATTCAAAGTCAGTTGAACCCTTTTTATGCGCTCAGAATTTGAAATAGAGTCAGGAATAGGGCATTTTCGGCGGGGAAAATGAGACAACTGTGCGTCTAACCTCGAGTTGCAAAATGTCATTTTGACACCCACAAATTCAAAATATCGATGCTTTTGAGAAGATTTCAAAGTTTGAGGGCAAAAAATGGGACTTATTTTTATGTATTTTAAACTCTAACAACATATCTCATGATGAAAAATAAGACTTGAAATTTTGATTGAATATTTTTTTAAGAGTATCAAAAAGCATGCCACCGAGAACCAGAAATCTTTATTTTCGATCCAAAATTGAATATTTTCTTGCCTTTTAGGCTCCACTTTACAAGGCCCTTTGTCTTCACCAAGAAGAAAAGTTCGGCCATATGAACCGAATGTACAATGATCTATATCGGCCGTATTGTGCGGTTCATGTAACCGCTCTCTTGGTTCCAGGAACCGTATTCTCGGTTAATGCAACCAAGCATTCAAATCAAGCAGAACTATATATAACGAAAAAGCTCGGTTCCACGAACCGAGGATACATTTTTCTGGACCGAGAGAGCAGTCCCATGAACCGGATAATACGGCCGATATTGAACACCGCATATTCGGTCCGTATAATCGAAATGTTTTCTCAGTGTTACTTTATCACATTTAAAATTTGATGCGACGGTTGATGTGTGTTTTTTCTTTTTTCTACTCACTTATTTTGCCGATTTCGATGTTGTAGTCGAAGGAGTAAATTACTGCTCGTGCGGTCTCGGCAAGAAACAATTTGTCACTGGCAGAGTTCCATGCGATCCCGTTGTAAATCGCACCATCCTCGTTATCAATGTCCTTTTCAAAGTTGCAACTTTGTTTTGTGTAATGAAACAAACTGGCATTTCCTTTTGTGTCTATAAAATAGGATTGAAATGTAATAAATATCACCGGAATCTCAAGAAAGCAAAGATACTCTTTTCAGCCCCCCCAAACCCCTCAAACAC